TTTATGGTGTGTAGTGGTACTGGGGGATATTCTAGATGCGGCCGAACTAGAGCTTTATATAGGTGGATCTGAATGTTAGTACTGAGGATTCGGAATCTCCTCAGTTTTCCTAAGGCTACTTTGGCTTTGTTTAGTCGGTCCCTTGCATGAATTTGTATCCCTGTTCTATTGATCATAAGTCCCAGTATTCTGCCTACCTCCGCATATTGGATCGGCTGGTTGTCAAGGATGATGGGGTCCGGGTTTCTTTTCGCAATATGTATTATCTGAAACTTTTGTTGGTGCTAACTTTCCATTGCTTCTCAAAGTTGTTTGAGTTCAATTGCTGCCTTGGTCTTGTCGGCTAGTAGCGGCTTTGATGGTCCCGGTTGGCATATTATTTGGGTGACATCGTCAGCGTATGTGATGTATTCTCCCTATACTGGGAAGGGCATGAGCTGAAGAAACAGGGGAGGACATGGGGTGGGGGAACAGGGGAGGACAGGGGAGGTATGTGTGTGTTCATGACTGGTGAGGTGTGTGTGTTCATGACTGGTCAGGTGTGTTTGTGTATGTTCATGACTGGTCAGGTGTGTATATATTCATGACTCACGTAACACATGTGGCTGCACACACTAACGCCACAGTTGCACGCAAGGACGTGATCAGATAACAGGGAATATTATAGCTGGAGCAGGCAACCAGCAGCAGGCACGCATACCAACACCCGACAAACATGAAGGAATTAATTAGCAGATATACAACATAGAGACACGCAGATAAGCAAGAGGCAGCCAGGTATGTGGAGTACGGGAGAGGCGAAGAGCAGCATCCCTGAACACCGTCTCTCTCTCTCTCTCTCTCTCTCTCTCTCTCTCTCTCTCTCTCTCTCTCTCTCTCTCTCTCTCTCTCTCTCTCTCTCTCTCTCTCTCTCTCTCTCTCTCTCTCTCTCTCTCTCTCCACCCCCCCACCACGACTCTGGTATCGCCGTCCGCTAACTGCGCCCTTCATCGTAATTACCATCTCTCTGCACTGCCGGGTAGTTTGATCGGACTCGCTTCGTTAACGGCTGTTCAATATTTGCTTGGAACCTCTATCAGGGGAAGTGGATAACGGGTCATTACGGGAGCAGGTTGATATATATGTAACTTGGGCCAGGTATGTGTTTCAGGACTTGTGACCAAGGATGTTTCAGGCCCGTGGCCCCCATAGATGGCCCGCCAGGGCACACGTGACCCCCATAGATGGCCCGCCAGGGCACACGTGGCCACAACTGTTGGGGCCATGCACTCAATTGTTATTTTTATTTTTTATTAACACATTTATGCCAGCTACAGTCTACAGTCATGTACCAGTCTACAGTCATGGTACAGTCTACAGTCATGGTACAGTCTACAGTCATGGTACAGTCTACAGTCATGGTACAGTCTACAGTCATGGTACCAGTCTACAGTCATGGTACAGTCTACAGTCACGGTACAGTCTACAGTCACGGTACAGTCTACAGTCATGGTACAATCCTACAGTCACGGTACAGTCTACAGTCATGTACCAGTCTACAGTCATGGTACAGTCTACAGTCATGGTACAGTCTACAGTCATGGTACAGTCTACAGTCATGGTACAGTCTACAGTCATGGTACAGTCTACAGTCACGGTACAGTCTACAGTCACGGTACAGTCTACAGTCATGGTACAATCCTACAGTCACGGTACAGTCTACAGTCACGGTACAGTCTACAGTCATGGTACAGTCTACAGTCATGGTACAGTCTACAGTCATGGTACAGTCTACAGTCACGTACAGTCTACAGTCACGGTACAGTCTACAGTCACGGTACCAGTCTACAGTCATGGTACAGTCTACAGTCATGGTACAGTCTACAGTCATGGTACAGTCTACAGTCATGGTACAGTCTACAGTCATGGTACCAGTCTACAGTCATGGTACCAGTCTACAGTCATGGTACCAGTCTACAGTCATGGTACCAGTCTACAGTCATGGTACAGTCTACAGTCATGGTACAGTCTACAGTCATGGTACAGTCTACAGTCATGCAGCATTTATAAATACATATAAACAGTTGAGGATGAGGAGCGCGGTGCCTTTAACCGCCACAAATGGCCTTGTTGCGCGGCGAGATGCGACTGATTGCGCTGTTGAGTAGTTTGTGAGCACATGGAGATGTCTTGGTACGTTACTGAGGGGGTCCGGTCGTTTGTTGCAGCGTGAGGCGATAGTGGTGATGCTGCAGACCACTCCCAACAGTTTGCTTGCTTGGCGTCGGTCAGCAATAATGCGACTTCGTGATCTGCAAGATAATGCTTAAGTTAGGGCTGTGCCTGTCATGAGCGGAGATGTGAGGGTACTCACCTAGTTGTGCTTGCGGGGGGTTGAGCTCTGGCTCTTTGGTCCCGCCTGTCAACTGTTAATCAACTGGTGTACAGATTCCTGAGCCTATTGGGCTCTATCATATCTACATTTGAAACTGTGTATGGAGTCAGCCTCCACCACATCACTGCCTAATGCATTCCATCTGTTAACTACTCTGACACTGAAAAAGTTCCTTCTAACGTCCATGTGGCTCATGTGGGTACTCAGTTTCCACCTGTGTCCCCTTGTTCGTGTCCCACCCGTGTTAAATTATCCGACCTTATCAACACTGTCAATTCCCCTGAAAATTTTGTATGTAATGATCATGTTTCCCCGAACTCTTCTGTCTTCTAGCGATGGAAGATGCAGCTCACACAGCCTTTCCTCGTAATTTATGCCTCTTAGTTCTGGAAATAGTTTGGCAGCATACGTTTGGACCTTCTCCAGCTTCCTCAACCTTCTGTGCTTAAGAATGTATGGACTCCAGGCTGGAGCCGCATGTTCCAGTAGCCTGACATATATGGTGTACAAGGTTTTAAAGAATTTCTTACATAAATATCTAAAGGCAGTTCTTATGTTAGCCAACCTCGCATATGTCGCTGATGATATCTTTTCATTTGGGCTTCAGGAGACAGGTTCGGTGTGATATCAAATCCTAAATCTTTCTCTCTGTCCGTGTCGTAGTGGACTTCATCTCCCATTTGGTATCCTGTGTCTGGCCTCTTGCTTCCTCCAGTGGCTACGCCTAGCTTCATTACTTTACATTTACTTGAGTTGAATTTTAGTAGCCATTTGTTGGACTATTCCTTCAGTTTGTCTAGGACATCTTGTAGCTTCTTGCTATCTTCCTTGGTCTTAATGCTCCTCATGATGTTGGCATCATTAGCAAACATTGAGAGGAACGAGTCTATTCCCCTTTTGGAGATAGTTTATATATATCAGAAACAATAAAGGTCCAAAGACACCCTGTGGAACTCCACTGGTGACGCCTCGCCACTCCGAGACCTCACCCCTCACAGTGACTCGCTGTCTCCTGTTGCTTAGGTACTCCCTTATCCAATGGTGTACCTTCCCTTTCACTCCCGCCTGCATCTCCAGCTTATGCACTAGTCTCTTATGTGGTACTGTGGCAAAGGCTTTCTGGGCTCTACCATCCAGCAACATGTATTCTACCACCCTTCTCTTTCTTGTCGTTTCTTCTTTCTTTCTTTCTCTTATCGCCTAGTCATAGAACTGTTAATCCTGTGAGGCAAGATTTGTCATCTCTGAACCCATGCAGCTGGTGTATTATAAAGTTCTTTATCTCCAGATGTCATCTAGTTTTTTTTATCGCAATCTTCTCAATACCTTGTACGGTATGCAAATTAGGACACTGGGCTTTCAGTGCCTCCTGTTTGTCTTCCTTCTTGTATATCGGGACTACATTACCCGTCTTTCAAATTTTTGGCAGTTCTGTTAGCTGTGATTTACCAAAATTGAGAGCGGCAGGCACAGTACTTCTGTTCATTCTTTTAGTATCCAGGGTGATATCCCCCCCCCTGGGCCTGTAGCCTGTCACAGCCACCTCAAGCAATTCCCTCCCCCCCCCCCATTGTCAATCCCATCCTCCTACAGTGGTGCCTGGTTAGATATTCCCGCTCTCACCTTAGCTGAGTAACGTGTGTTTGCGGGGGTTGAGCTCTGTGGTGTGTGGTGTGTGAGCCTATCGTCTGTCATATCTACACTTGAAACTGTGTATGGAGTGCCTCCACCACATCACTTCCTAATGCATGTGTGTGTGTGGGCACTCAGTTTCCACCTGTGTCCCCTTGTGCGTGTGTGTGTGTCTTTATCTACCCTATCAATCCCCTTGTGTGTGTGTGTGTGTGTATCAGACTCTTCCCCGCTTAACGACTCGTTCACCGGCGCCAGTGTTCACCTAACGAGTTGATTAGTTCCGGACCTTCGTTACGTAGCGGCTCGCCCATTGCCACCAACAACAGCCCGTTGCATCAAGCGCAGTGTTTTTGTTTGTCCGATGTATCTAATGCAACGTCTGAAAATACATTTTATTACCTCATACATCAGGGGAAACATGACGTTATGCGTTGTTGACGGTCCAGGGTCGAGCGTCAAGCTGACGCTCTGACGCTATCACTTGAGGCTATCACTTGACGCTATCACTTGACGTTAGCACTTGACGTTATCACACGATGCTACCACCTGACGTTATCATTTGACGTTATTACTTGACGCTATCACTTGACGCTATCACTTGATGTTGTCACTTGACGTTATCATTTGACGCTATCACTTGACGTTTGACGCTATCACTTGATGCTACCACTTGACGCTATCACTTGATGCTATCACTTGACGTTATCACTTGATGCTATCACTTGATGTTATCACTTGATGCTATCACTTGACGTTATCACTTGATGCTATCACTTGACGTTATCACTTGATGCTATCACTTGACGTTATCACTTGATGCTATCACTTGACGTTATCACTTGACGTTATCACTTGACGTTACCACTTGACGTTACCACTTGACGCTATCACTTGACGTTATCACTTGACGTTATCACTTGACGCTATCACTTGACGCTATCACTTGACGCTATCACCTGACTTTATCACTTGACGTAATCACTTGACGTTATCACTTGACGCTATCACTTGACGCTATCACGGTGTGAGCACCGTGAGTGTGGTCGGGGCTCTTGTGAGCACCGTGAGTGTGGTCGGGGCTCTTGTGAGCACCGTGAGTGTGGTCGGGGCTCGTGTGAGCACCGTGAGTGTGGTCGGGACTCTTGTGAGCACCGTGAGTGTGGTCGGGACTCTTGTGAGCACCGTGAGTGTGGTCGGGGCTCGTGTGAGCACCGTGAGTGTGGTCGGGACTCTTGTGAGCACCGTGAGTGTGGTCGGGACTCTTGTGAGCACCGTGAGTGTGGTCGGGGCTCTTGTGAGCACCGTGAGTGTGGTCGGGGCTCTTGTGAGCACCGTGAGTGTGGTCGGGGCTCGTGTGAGCACCGTGAGTGTGGTCGGGGCTCTTGTGAGCACCGTGAGTGTGGTCGGGGCTCTTGTGAGCACCGTGAGTGTGGTCGGGGCTCTTGTGAGCACCGTGAGTGTGGTCGGGGCTCTTGTGAGCACCGTGAGTGTGGTCGGGGCTCTTGTGAGCACCGTGAGTGTGGTCGGGGCTCATGTGAGCACCGTGAGTGTGGTCGGGACTCTTGTGAGCACCGTGAGTGTGGTCGGGGCTCATGTGAGCACCGTGAGTGTGGTCGGGACTCTTGTGAGCACCGTGAGTGTGGTCGGGGCTCATGTGAGCACCGTGAGTGTGGTCGGGACTCTTGTGAGCACCGTGAGTGTGGTCGGGAGCTCATGTGAGCACCGTGAGTGTGGTCGGGACTCTTGTGAGCACCGTGAGTGTGGTCGGGGCTCTTGTGAGCACCGTGAGTGTGGTCGGGACTCTTGTGAGCACCGTGAGTGTGGTCGGGACTCTTGTGAGCACCGTGAGTGTGGTCGGGACTCTTGTGAGCACCGTGAGTGTGGTCGGGACTCTTGTGAGCACCGTGAGTGTGGTCGGGACTCTTGTGAGCACCGTGAGTGTGGTCGGGACTCGTGTGAGCACCGTGAGTGTGGTCGGGACTCACCTTCGACTCTACTGATCATGTAGGACTCATCTAAATATTCATACGTCGTTCCATTATATACTATGTGCTGCGAGGTCCCTGTACTACATAGGCTATGCAAATTAATATGTGTGTTTTATGTAGTCTTTGTCTAGTCAAATTTGCAACTTTCATGGATTGAATTTATTGTTGCGTTTTGTATAGCAAATGTATTAATGTCGTTTATAGTGTATATATTAATAGCATTGTCATTTTAATTGTATATATTTTATGAGGGTTAATTTTATAATGGGTCTTGCCATTTACATATGTATAATGTACTGGATGGGGTACCCGGTGGTGCCCGGGTCGATCACGGGCTGGGCTTGACCCCGCGCACTAAACGCTGGCGTTATGTTTTTGTTTTTATTAATATGAAGGGTTACACAGTGTGTGTCAAGAGCCAGCTGTGTGATACTAAGGTACCTGGACATTTATACAGCTGCCCTAGACTATATGAAGGGTTACACTGTGTGTGTCAAGAGCCAGCTGTGTGATACTAAGGTGCCTGGACATTTATACAGCTGCCCTAGACTATATGAAGGGCTACACTGTGTGTGTCAAGAGCCAGCTGTGTGATACTAAGGTACCTGGACATTTATACACCTGCCCTAGACTATATGAAGGGCTACACTGTGTGTGTCAAGAGCCAGCTGTGTGATACTAAGGTACCTGGACATTTATACAGCTGCCCTAGACTATATGAAGGGTTACACTGTGTGTGTCAAGAGCCAGCTGTGTGATAATAAGGTACCTGGACATTTATACAGCTGCCCTAGACTATATGAAGGGTTACACTGTGTGTGTCAAGAGCCAGCTGTGTGATACTAAGGTACCTGGACATTTATATAGCTGCCCTAGACTATATGAAGGGCTACACTGTGTGTGTCAAGAGCCAGCTGTGTGATAATAAGAAAATTCACCTTCTCAAAGGATGGTTAGTCACACAGGGACCTGTGATCAGAAGCCTACACTGGCAAACTTGTGGGGCATTATGCAGGATAATTTCCAAGTGCTTGAAGAGCAGACTTTGAATCACTGAAAATTATTCCTCCTCCTGTGTTTTTTAGTGTCTTGGTAGCTAGTTGTAGTGCCGCTAGTTCTGTGTGTGCGCAGGTCAGCCACTTTAACCTGACACTGGTAGTTGGTGTACAAGTGTTGTTTCTATAAAACCTACAGGCTGCTGCAGTCCTACAGGCTGCTGCAGTCCTACAGGCTGCTGCAGTCCGTCCTGTTGACAGCTGGACTGAGCCAGCGGTGGAAATACGTCCTCTTAAAAATAACGTCACTTTTGGCTCGTATGCGCGATATGGCTAAATTTGGACCTAATTTGAAATGAAATCGACTCACAAAAGTGACGTTCTGTTCCGTTTTCTGTTTGAGTTGTCCGGCGTACGCGCAGAGGTTATGAGAGGACACTTTAAATTAACGTTTTGAAACTTTATGATAATTTCCTGCCCACCTAACCTATCAGAGGACCCTTAACTTACTGTTGACAAAAAAATCCCATATTTTCATTTTCAAATTACGTCCAAATTCGGCCATACTGGCAAACGGCCAAAAGCGACGTTCTTTTTAAGAGGACAGGTTTGGACACTGCTCGCGAGACCTTACGGTTTTGAGAGGTCTGTGTTTTGAGTGACTGCATTAGAACACCCCCATTCTTTTTATCTTTCTGGCTCATGGGCGCGTCTGATACTTGAATGGTCGGGTATAGATAAAGAGGAAAATTAGTAATAGGTATATTTACATTTAAAAGGTATATTTAGTTTGATGAGATTGTTGATATTTTTGTTTAACCATTTATGATATAAGGAGTTAGTTGGTATGTTAGCACTCATCATTAGAGTATTATGGACACAAAATAGTGTCACTGTTAGGATCCAGCCTGCTAGTTCAGACTGGATACGCTGAGGTCATACCTGTAAGTGAAGGTACCTCTACTATAATGTAATCCATCCTGCAGTATTGGAAGTACCATTATACACACGTGTATTACGGTTTATCGTACGGTATTTTGCTGTATTATTTTTATGTTTCTTGATGTGTTGGTTGTGAGTTTGTAACTTCTTGTTTGGCCTGTTGTGAGGCGCGGCCGTTGCTACTGACACCCCCCCCCACCCTCTGCTTGCCTGTGTACTCACCTAATTGTGCTTGCGGGGGTTGAGCTTTGGCTCTTTGATTCCACCTCTCAACTGTCAATCAACTGGTGTACAAATTCCTGAGCCTACTGGGCTCTATCATATCTACATTTGAAACTTTGAAACTGTGTATGGAGTCAGCCTCCACCACATCACTGCCTAATACATTCCACCTGTTAACTACTCTGACACGGAAAAAGTTTTTTCTAACGTCCCTTTGGCTCATTTGGGGACTACGTTTCCACCTGTGTCCTCTTGTTCGTGTCCCACCCGTGTTTCCTCGTAGCTCATCCCTCTCGGTTCCGGAACGAGTCTGGTGGCATACCGCTGAATCTTCTCTAACTTTGTCTTGTGTTTAAGTATGGATTCCAAGCTGGAGTTGCATATTCCAGGATTGGTCTGACATAAGTGGTTACCAACCGCCCCGCCCCCACAGGTGTGTGTGTGTGTGTGTGTGTGTGTGTGTGTGTGTGTGTGTGTGTGTGTGTGTGAGTGTGAGTGTGTGTGTGTGTGAGTGTGTGTGTGTGTGTGTGAGTGTGAGTGTGAGTGTATGTGTGTGTGTGTGTGTGTGTGTGTGAGTATAGCCTGCCCGGGGTGGTTAGTAAGCTTTTTGTTTCTGTTGTATATACATATTTGTATGATGCTAGTTTTGAGTAGCTGAACATCTGCGCATGTTCCTAAGGTGTATATATACATAAGAGTATTGTTCTGTTTGTTTTCTGTACTCTGTTGACTTATATATATATTATGTGTAGTGTTGTTACTGTGAGTCGACCAGTGTTATGAGGCAGCAGTTGTCTCTCTGGTTTGTGTGTGTGTGTGTATATATATATATATATATATATATATATATATATATATAAAGGAGAATTATTGGTGTGGATCAGAGTATCAAAGTTTGTTCACCAGACTCTTAAATTGTAATTGTTGTGGTAAGGTTACTAATATTATTAGTTGAGCCGTTTGGGGAATTTGTCATATTTTGGTCCCTCTGTGGCCACTACCTCTGGAGAGGAGATTCGGGACTTAGTCAATTTTTCTCTTGAGATGAGATTCCTGACTTTGCCAGAATTGTCAGTCATTGTAACTATCGTTTGAAGTAATTGACTTTGCCATGTATCAAGTCATTGCGGACTCTGACTATTTGAAAAGAGTTTAGACGAGATGTTAATCTTCTTGTTTGAGGAGCTGTTCACTTGAGACAGTTAAACAAGTCCCAGCTGTGTCTGGGTACAAGTGACAGGATGAACAACCCAGCAGGTTTTCTTCCTATTGGGGAGTGTTGTACAAGCTGCTATGGCGGTGTGTCCACTCACAGCATGAGTGACGCTGCCCAATACTGTCACTATGGCGGTGTGTCCACTCACAGGATGAGTGGCGCTGCCCAATACTGTCACTATGGCGGTGTGTCCACTCACAAGATGAGTGGCGCTGCCCAATACTGTCACTATGGCGGTGTGTCCACTCACAGGATGAGTGGCGCTGCCCAATACTGTCACTATGGCGGTGTGTCCACTCACAGGATGAGTGGCGCTGCCCAATACTGTCACTATGGCGGTGTGTCCACTCACAGGATGAGTGGCGCTGCCCAATACTGTCACTATGGCGGTGTGTCCACTCACAGGATGAGTGGCGCTGCCCAATACTGTCACTATGACGGTGTGTCCACTCACAGGATGAGTGGCGCTGCCCAATACTGTCACTATGGCGGTGTGTCCACTCACAAGATGGGTGGCGCTGCCCAATACTGTCACTATGGCGGTGTGTCCACTCACAGGATGAGTGGCGCTGCCCAATACTGTCACTATGGCGGTGTGTCCACTCACAAGATGAGTGGCGCTGCCCAATAAACTCGCCCCTCGGGGCAAAATTTAAAAAAAATTTAAATTTACCATTCGCCAATCCAGTTGGAACTTAGTTTTTTCTGACGGCAAAGTGATAGTTCATTGTTATTGTGTGTGATAGTGTTATTAATGTTCAATAACACTAGTGATAGTGTTATTGATGTTCAATAACACTAGTGATAGTGTTATTGAAGGGTCCTCTGATAGGTTAGGTGGGCAGGAAATTCTCATAAAGTTTCAAAACGTTATAATAAACGTTAATTGAAAGTTTCCTCTTCTAACGTTTCCGAGTAGGTCGGACGACTCAAACAGAAAACGGGACAGTACGTCACTTTTGTGAGTCAATTTCATTCCAAATTACGTCCAAATTTGGCCATAGCGCGCATACGAGCCAAAAGTGACGTTATTTTTAAGAAGACGGGTTGCTCTGAAAGCTTGTCTCTAACTGCTCAAAACACCTCTCTGGCCGAGCCAGGGGTGGGTACTCTCGCAAGCCAGTACAACGGGCTCCTTGTTAAATAGTACTGCCGTCAGCACAAGCTGGGCTCGCTCGCTCTTCACTACCATCTCGCTCCTCACAAACACGCTCACACACACACACACCCACAATTACAACTCACAATTATACATGAAAGAGTGCAAAATACTAGCACTGTTACACCATTT